CATAGGGATCACCTAGTGCCTACTCATTTCCTAGAGCTCAGTAGGAAAAGCGAAGCCAAATGGAGTCCTGTTTAAAAAAAAAAAAAAAAAAAAAAAAAGGTTAATGGCTCCCATCATGTGCCATTAACACCGGGATAATGTGGCCACCTCCCACCCAAAGTGGTCTCTCTTGGAGTAAGAGACAGTGCAGGCTGTATTCATCCCACACCCAGAGCTTGGGATTCTCAGAACGAGGCCTGCTTAGCAACAAAGGTGATTTTTATCTGAATGACAGACCCACAAGAGGCCACTCTTATTGAGGCTAGGAGATCAGAGCCTTCGTTTCTTGTCTTTGGTTAACCTTTCACCCCAAGACACACCATGACAGAGGAACGCCAACTCAGCCATGGTAAGTCACTAAGCGCAAGCCCAATGGCCTGTACATGAGAAGAAGCCTCCTCTTCTCCATGTGGCTGCACCCGGGTTTTATTAGGTCCCAATAAACAATGAAGTGGCAATAGTGGGGCCCTGCTAACATGTGAGGCAGTCATGCTCAGGGTCAAAGAGAAACGTGGGAAGTGTGGTAGCTGGACCCACATGAGGATGCAACATGGTGCTGGGGGAGAAGCCACTTCAAGGGGTGTTTTGGGCTCCCTCAGTGGGGAATCGGGAGACCTGGCTTTCACCTCAGTTCTACCCTGACCTTGCTCCAAGGGTCTTGTTAAGTCAGGTCTCTGGTTTCTTTACCCATAAAATCAAAGAACTGGATTGGATCATCTATAGATTCTTCCCAGTCTCAATACCTTAGGATCATTGATCTTAGAGGCAGACCCACCTTTCTTAGCCCTTTCTCCTTCTGTGTTAGTTATTTGTGTGAGACCCCTCATCTCTCGTAGCTCCCACCATGCAGACTTCTACCAACACTATGACTTTTACTGCTCCAGAGTGTCTGGTCACTCCTGAGTACAGAGCCTGGCTGGGCAAGAAGAGGAGAGACTTGGGGCCATATTACTCAGAACACAGCCACTCTCTCTGGTCAAACAACGCAACAGCTCAACTCCAGAAAACTTGCAGCATTGAGAGCTTGGCTATGCCAACAACCTCTGGTCATCTGGGTTGGCTTCTTCTCTCTCAAAGCTTTTCCTCGCTCCCCTCCAATCCCACCCACACCCCCTAGGTTCCCAACTCTCTAGCAAAACGTTAGACTGTCCCCATGCTGCTTGGCAAGAGACTAGAGCTACAACAGGCAGTTCTTCTCTGTCCTCTGGCATGTCCCAGGGTTGGGTAGGGGAGAGAGAGGTGGTGAGGCTGCATGGGCCAGGAGAAAAGTACCTACAGAAGCAAGCTCCAGCTACATGAGGAGGAGGTGACCCGGAGAAGGCAGTGCGGGTCGCCAGGACAGACAGAGAGCACTGAAAAGTCACAGAATTTTAGTAAGCTCCTTGAAATGATACCTAGCCCTCTATACCTCCCCTATTTCCTCAATGAGAAATCAGAGGGCAGGTGAAGTTCGGTGAGAGACCCAAGGCCACGCAACTACTTTTGTTGACAATCAATACCAGAATGTGGGTCTTTGGCTTCAACCCATTCTTCTCTCCACTCTACTCCGTTGACCTCAAGACCTAGTTAGGTTACTCTGATGAGGCCAGCTGGATCCCCTACAGACTCTAAGAAACATGACCCAAGTGCCACTTAGGGGAAGAGCAGGCCCAGAAGATACTTTGATAACTGTCTCCTGACCCCATGCGTTCCTTCCCCAGCTGACATGTCTAATTGTTCTTTCTCCAGCCCTCGCTGCAAAATCTTGAGGAGTTCAGAGGTCAGTGAGAAGGGAGGGGTGGGCCTTCCTGTCCCTACAGAACTCTGAATATCTAAGATAACCATAAGGATCTCTCTTCCTTGGTCTAAAGGAGGTTGGTGGAAAAAAGTAGCAGACTGAACTAACTCAATGGAGGCCTGACCTTATCAGGCCAAGAATAGTCATCACGAGCAATTAGATGGGTCATCTGAATGTTTTTGACACCAAACAGTAGGATTTGCCCCTGTCCAGAACCTTTCAAAGACTAATGATCACATCAACATCAGGAGAGGGACGCTCAGAGTAAAAGATTCAAGGAATTAATTATTCAGCACCTATGACCCAGTTCCCGGAGGTGAGGCTAGGTGAGAAGAGAACTTACCAGCTCCTTATCGTGGCAAGAAATGCAAATACTTCACAGAGTAGTATTCCTTCTGCTGCCAAAGAGGATCCATTTATGGTTAAGAGTGCCTCCCACCCATCCCCCGCCCCCCCAAAGAGCCAAAGTTCACTCATTCGACAAATATTTATTGAGCTCCTCTTAAGTCCTATGCCCTCCAAGGATTTACATATGGCTGGGGCTTTGCAGAGTCTAAAGATCATGGGGTTTATAAACAGGAGGCCTGCGCTGTGTCCCAGCTCAGCACTTAGGCAGCTATGCTACCCTGCACAAGGTAAAAATTTAAGTTAATTTTCTCATCTGTGAAATGGGAAGGAATCCACCTGCTTATTATAAAGTTGAAATGATCTTTATAAAATGTAAACTGCCATGTAAACCCAAGGCATAAACAACAAAAGACACAACAGTGCCTGCTTCTCCTGCCCTCGAGAAGTTTATAACCTGGATATCTTTGGAAAATCACCCAAGGTACGTATTTGGCAAACATCACATTCCCTATAATTTGAGCAAAGGTTATGTTTCAACCTGCCAGTAGAGATGGGGCCTGTGGTCAGTCCCAGCCTTCTGTCTGGAAGCCCCAGAAGTGGCAAAAACAGCAGAGTAAAAACAGAGTAGCCGGGACCTGCCTGGCCCTGTGTCATGCCTGGGTGAGTGAAAGACCCAGCAAAGCCTTATGACTGAGACACAGGAAAAGACCAACTGGAACTATGGTCAATCAGAAACAAAACAAAGTTCCACAAGAGCGCAACAGGAGTGAGCCAGCACACACATCCCTCCCCATATGCATTTCAGACAAATGCCTGACCCTCCTCTATGGACATATTCTGTATTCTGCATTTCTCCAGGAACAAGGAAGGTTCTCAGGCCATAGCAGACGCCCTCTTTGCCTGCACACTAAGATCAGGACCTCTTTGCCTGCACACTAAGAATCAGAATTCATGCAGTAGCTTTTCCCCAGGTCCAGCCAACCCCTTCGCAGCCTGCTGTTCAAGATCTCACCTCCTATAGATCCTCAGTGCCCACCAGGCCAGCCTCTAAATGCAAGTCCTGATTGCCTGCTGCTCCTCCTTGGGGACCTCCACTCTGCTCCAGCCCTGGGTTGGGCACTGATGCTCTCCCCTCCCCTCCCCTTCTCCACTACCCCCTCCCCCAGGACCTGCCCTGGTCTCACAACTTCAGGAAAGCTCCTACAGGCAACACTGGTTCTATTCATCTCTATGATCCCTCTGACTCAGGGCATTCTGGTAAGTCCTTCACCATCCTGTAAACGCAGAACGATGGTCCCCAAATGTTCTCTGATGTCTATATAAAGAAGGGAGGCAGAGGAAGAAAGAGGGAAAAAGGAAGGATGCTAGACGGGAGGTCCAGGGCCCACATTCCAATTCGCCATTTGGCACCAATTACGTAGGTAACCTTGAGAAAGTATCTTCAGGCCAGGCCTCAGTTTCCCTGTCTAGTAATAAGGGGTTTGTGCTAAATAATCTCTCAGGTTCTCTCTAATTATAAACTTCGGTATTACAGAAACCGGACTAGCCTGGCCATAGGAGACATGTGTCCGGTTCCTTAGGAGCTGCCGCCGGGGCTGAGCCAGCTGACTGCCCAGATCTCAGTCTCCATGGTCTATAAAAGAAGTAAGGATAATAGGACCGCCCCTCCCGGGGAGTGGGGTCCCCACCAGACATGGCCATAGAGCTTCAGGAACCACAAAACCCTGGAGAAATCTTGGGGTTCAAATTCCCTCAGTCAACAGAGAGCTGCTGACCCCTGCCACATGCCTCATACTGTGCTTCCAGCATGGTGCCGCCTCATACAGGAAGGCTGGACGATGGGTCCATGCCCCCAGTGTTCCCACAGCTAGGGACTGAGACAAACAAGCAGACAAACCTTAACTCAGCCAGTCAGTCATGTAGCTGGCATCCGAACAAAGCAGCTATGGGAGTACAGAGGAGGAAGAGGAGCCAACTCTGCCTGAAGAAGGGAAAGAAGCTTCTAGAAGGAATGGCATGTCCCCAATGTGGATATCTGTTCCAGGAGTTGTGAGACCAAAGCCAGGGTCAATGAGAGAGAGGCAGAAAAATGAGGCTACAAAGTGAGGTTGAGATCTAATAGGAGGGGGCCCTGAAGGCCACCAGGGGAGTGATGGTCAGCCGATCTTCCAGAAAGGTCTGGCAGCACCTTAGAGGATGGAGCAGGGGAACACAGTGGAGCTGGGGAGAGTGGCGGAGGCTCCCATAAGAGTCCGTGAAGGCGACTATGCCAACAAGTCATTATCCATCACTGTCCATACCTGGCTGCCCTACCTACGCCTCTGGGGACTTGCTGAATCTACAGACAGAGCTGAACAGCTCTGCTCTCCTCCTAGGGGAACCCAAGCAGAGGAAGAGGCCATAATCACATTTGTAAATCTTGGACGCACGCTGCAGTGCTCTGCAGTCACTCCCTCCAGAAGCTGCCTGGCTAGATTCTTGCCTGGACCCACACCTGAGCCAGCCAGAGACGGAAACACCATCAGGTCTGGGACTGGAGTCGGAACAGTCTTACTAAGGGGACAAGGGTCAGAAAGCCCGCCCACCTGAAGGCCACTGACGTAGGTCCCAGACATACCACGGATTCAACCCCTGCCTCCCTCCCTCCTCTGACAGCACCGAGAGTTGTGGGACAGACAGAGAGCCAGGGAGGGCAAGGGAGGCCTTCACCAACCAGTGTCTCTCCAAACTGGGTCACATTCACTTGGGCTTAAAGAAAGAGCACAAGCACCCCTACACTTTCCAAAGCCTGAAGCCCGCTCCTCAAGTACAACTCAGCAGCATTAAAGAGACTTACTTGATTCGTAGGCATCAGAGTGACTAAAGTCATCTCCTCGTGGGACAAGCCAAGCACAGGTTGCCACGTTCCCTTAAAGACAAGAGCCAGGCAATGAATGTCAGTTACATTATCTTACATTACAGCCTCCTATCTTCTCCCGGCCACAAGGTCCCACAGGCTGGGGACTTTACCCCATAGCAACACTACTCAACAAGAGGAAATGCACAGGGAATTTCTCTCTGTGCTCCAAGTTTTGCATGTGAAGACAGGAACTGCTAGGTGGTTAAACAAATCCCACTGTGTCTGCTGTATGGGCCTCCTAGGGTTTATTACATCACTAGGCAAAGGTTTACAGAGAAAGTCAGAGGGGTCTGGAAAAGATTACTTCAGTAGCTCCTTTAGTAGAAACAGAAAGTGCCAGAATTTCTAAGGTGAAGACATGTTGAAAGTAAGTCAAGCTGGTGTAAAAACTTGGTAGTAAGTCACCAGTGTGAAGCCTGCCATATTTCCCAAGGCGGAAAGGGTCCAAAGCACTAAATAAACTAGGAAGTTCTAGAAGCAGACCATCTGGTCGTGGCAGAGTTTCCTAAACAACCTACTCTCTTGGCTTCCCTTGACCACCCGGATGGTTTGGTCATATCCTCCTGCTTCTCCAGAAAAATGCCCCCACACCTGTTTGGAAATGGAGCCCAGTGTTCTAAAGCACTTCTAAGAATTTACTTTCACAACTCCACATTTCTGAGAGGTGGCCTCAAGAGGACAAAAGTCAACACAGAGGAGAAATGAGAGATGTCCAAGAGGTAACACATATTCCACAGACATAGACGTACTTTGCTCCACAGGGCAGTGGGCCGACTTGCCCACATGGTCACACTTGTATTTTCTCTGTACACCAGGGTCTGTGTGTAGAGCCTGGGACTTGAACTCACTTTCAGAATTCTCAGTCTACGAATGGGAGAGCAGCTGCTATCTACTGAGCACTGGCTGAGCAAGGAAGGCACACTGGTAGACCAGATTCTGTTCCAGTGGCTCCTCACAGACTGGAAGAGAGGCCTGGAGAGCGGAAGACCCCTGCCCCAGCTCCATGGCACAGCAGGATTCAAGCCCAGGGCTGGTTGACCTAGTGCTCACTGGCTTCCCAACCACATCGAGGAGAGAGGGGTCCCAGCACAGCCCACAAGCAGCCTGGTGAGCTCCCAAGGCAGCCACTTGGGGAGAAGTTCCAATCACCGCCATCATGATCATCATTGTCAAGCCACACCTCTCAGGCCTGTGGCAGTGGACAAACAGGCTGGCCTGCCTCACCCGCATTCTATCAGCCTGAGCTGTAGGCTCAGAGAGGTTGGAGGACTCCACTTCTCTGCCCCACTGCTTCTCAAAAGAAGAATACGGCACTGTCTGCACAGTGGGATACCGGTGGGCATTCCTGGACTGGTCTGCAAGGGCTGACCATTGGTCAAATTCCCATAGGGCCTGGCCACATTGGAATCCAGCCACAGCAAGGACCAACAAGGACTTTGTCTGACCAACAGCTAAACATACTTCAGACTCCCCTTAACTCCACTAAACCAGAAGGTCCTAGGGCCCAGCACCTCCCTTCCCCTTGAGGGGGTCTCAGTTTCCTTATCTATAAAATGAGAAGTTTGACTTAATTGGTGATTTCCTCACCAAAGACTCCCTGCTAGCTGCTCCCCTCCAAGGGCTCAGACTTTAAGAGACACCTACAAAGCTCATCAGAAGTTAAAAGGAAGAATTAAAAGGATTAAGCCAAGCCCAGGCACTGCAGGGGGTTAGCTCAGAGGATCCTCCCAGCAACCTTGGGAGGCAGGTGGTACAGTCAGTGATGGGGGAAGCGGGGGATGCAGGGGGACTGAGGTATGGCCAGGCAAGCGTCTCACTTGGCCACAGAACCTGGGACTCACAGCGGAGCTGGCCTCAGGCCACGACGGTGTGTGTGCTCCTTGACACAATGTTTCCCTTTGTAACAGGAGAAGGAAACAATGTCTCCACTCAGACTTGCCATCTTGCCTTTCCCAAGCAAAGAAACACCAAGTCTCCAGGCCCCTGTGCACCTGACTTGGGTGATTCAGGAAAGATTTCCTGCGTGGTTGAGTCGCTTCAGGAACTCGAGGAACATGAGAGTACCTCAGGGAACCTTTCTCTCCACTGCACTCTCGGCCGAGCTCCCCAGAGTCAGGGTCTTCACGGAGGGACCCCGAGCCCTTGGAACAGGGCCTGGCACACACCAGCTGCTCAGTCAGCATTTGCTGAATGAAGGACTGAAGAACTCCAGAGGTGAGATGCACTCAGGCTCGTTCAAGAATCCTTTGGTGTAAGTTAGGGTGAGACACCCCAGGAGTGGCTTGGAACCACAAAGCTGGCCCCTCAGCAGCCAAGGTCTCCAGCCCACACACCCCAACCCCCCAGACAGAGAAGGAAGCCTCTGAGGCTGACCCAGGGATCAGGTGAGCAGCTGCTAGAGCAAGAGAAGCATCTGAGCATAAAGGCCACCCAGCGAGGTGGCCATGGGCTCAGGCCCCAGAATCAGGCAAACCTGGCTTCCCACCTCAGCTTTGCCACTTGAAATTAGTCAGATGGCCCCGGGCAAGTACCATAATTTCTGTGAGCTTCCTTTTCTTATGTAAAAATGGGACTAATGTTAGTACCTACTCTGCAGGTTTGTTGTTCTGAAGAGGAGGGGAGAGAATGTGGTTCAGGAGGCAGCCTGTGCATGCAGCTCACGGAGAGGACATGGGTCGTGACTGTCTGAGCTAGAGTGGATGGTAAAGAACACACTTGGAATCCCCTGCTTGGGTGTCAGCCCAGCTCTCCTACTAGCTCGCTGTGTGACCTCGGACAGGTTGCTCCACCTCTTTGTGCCTCAGCTCCCCAGTACAGTTAACAGGATTGATTGCAAAGACTAAATGAGTTATGTAGGTAAAGACCTTAGAATAATGCCTGGCACAAAGTAAGCACTCCAGACCAGGGAGTTAGTATCATTCTTAATTATTAATATCACAAGCATCCTTCTCCCTTTGTTCCAAAACAGAGTCCACCCTACCTCCCACTCCTCAACCAAAAAGGTAGGTATGGGACTCAGGATAGGTTCATTCTGAGTATCTTCCCTCCTTGGCCATGATCTTGAGTACAAAGGGTATGATGCACCTGTTCTCAGTTGTGCCAGGTTCTAATCTGAAAGCCTGGAGAAGGCCTGGTCCTCTTGGAATGGGTGGAGAGCTGTGTGGGGTCAGCTGGGAGCTGCCTGAGGCCATGGGCCACTGAGCAGGGGATGCCAGAGCTCACCTGTTCTTTTCCTGGTGCTGGATTCTGTAGCATTTCCTTTGAGTCCGAGTCTCCCCTAGAACTTTCCAAGGCATCCCATTTTTGCTTAAGCTCATTCAAGTTGGGTTCCTGTCACTTGAAACCAAAGGAGTCTCAACTAACAATAGCACTCAGCAACTGGCTGCTTCATTCCCAAATCCCACCCGGGAAGAAAAGCCAGCTGTACATGCTCAGTGAGCCCCAGCTAGCCAGGGAAAAGTGAGTGTGGTCAGCAATGGGTCTCTGCAAAGCGAAGCAATGGGAGGCTGCTACAAGCCCCTGCCCCATGCCCTTCCTGAGAGATAAAGATGCTGCAACTAAAAATGGAAATCGCCCCATACTGAGACCCCTGGCTGGGAACCCAGCCTCTAACATGGGTCCCTCTCACCCCACCATGAGATGTCTGAAAGATGAAGAAGAGAAAGGAAGCGGATCTGCATGGACTTCACAGTGGTGTGGAAAAAACTCCAGGCAGTTGCTTGAGACAACTCTTTTCAGAGGAGGAAGGAAAGTGCTTTGGAGAAGGGAAACCACCTTGTCTGAGCCCTTAAATTCGAGATAATTTCCCTGGTGCAATCGCCTTGAACTTGCAGCACAGTCCTAGGAGCTGGATGCTCATCCAACCCATTTTCCAGTGGAGGATACTGAGGCTCAGAGAGTGCCATGTCTAAATCATCAAGGTCATGCTTCTAGTGTCCGATGCCCAGTCGACCCACCAGGGACGCTGCCATGGATGCCAGCATGCTCGGGTCCTGAGCCTGAGGCCTCCTCATCACCCAGGCCTGTGCCAGACACCCGGGGGAGATGGTCACATGCTGCTGCCTCTCACTTACAACCTGCCCTCCAGCCCCACCCAGACACAGCTTCCCAGAGGAAGGGGCTGCCTTCGGGTGCTAACAGCACAGGGAGCATCATGATATCTGGAGGCAGTCCCTGGGCACGTTTCCTTCATCAGTGACTTTAATCTCCAAGAACCACGGTGTGATGTCATGGGCATGGCCCATATCCATGGGTTTTAACCAGAATATGCCTCTCAGAGCCCACGCAGAGTTTCCCAGGATTTGGTTTTCTGTTTTTTTACTCTCAGTCACCTTTCCCAAGAGGTCTGACTTGACAGGTGCAACTACAGTGCAGGACATAGTACCGTGCTCAACAGGGTCTCATCTTCCCACCACCTTCCAGCCAGTCTACTCCTGTACCCCCAGTTCCTCCCACAGCTTCCTCTCAAGTCCTTCCAGGAAAAGAAGCTCCAGCTTCAGGTATGTCTTAAAGAGTTCCAGAGAAATAGCAATAAGAAAAAACCAAAACCCTCTCCTGGGAGCAAAATCCACTGATTGCCTCCCCATGTCCCACAGCATCAGCCAGGGGGCAGACACACACCTCCGCACGCCGGGTCCCCGCACCGGAGTCTGTGCATAAGCGGAGGGAGGCCAATGCAGACGTGAACTTTGGCTGGTACAGACAGCCTCAGCTGCCACAGGAGGGGTAGGGACGACACTCAGATCAAGCGGAGCAGCCCTGGCAGGACACGGGCTGTCCCCATGGGTGTGCAGGAGGTTTGCAAAGCCCTTCCTAAGAGGCCTCCCCCACGGACCCACGCAGACACCCACATCACAGTGCCACATGGTGCCTGAGCCTCCTGCCAGCTGGTGGCCTGCTTCCTCTTTGTTTTGGAGGAGCTGGGTTCCGGCAGTGGCTATCCCAGTCACAGGGGACTATCCAGACAGGTATTTCCCTTA